AGTTAGATATGGTTTTGGACAAGAAGCATGAGATAATCTTCATTGCGCGGCAATCTGGACTGTATTTGAAACAGAGCATCAAATTTCCTGATATTTAATAGTATACTGTCAATGAAAAAATATAACTAAAAAAAAAAATAATATTGGACCTCTTTACCCAAGGCTGTGTGTCTTTGTCGAGCACAAAATGATTCTGGTCGGGTATGCAGGCAGTTGTTAGCCCATATTGGGCTTGAATAGACTTGAATTGAAAGACCCTTGTTTACTCGCGAAGTTTGGGCGCTTTCATATGAGAAGTAAAACCTTGCCCATCATGAATTCATGTTGTAAAGTTGTTTACAGACTGAAAAAGGGATAGACGGGACTGTAGAGAGTGAATAAAACTAGGAAATTATAATTGCAAATGTAAAACAACGTTGTAAACCAGCAATAAGAGGCCTTGAATGCAGTTTTTAAATGGACATGGCTTTGGGGCTACCGCTACCGCCGCCAGGCTACGCTGTCGATTGCCAGCTAGCTGTCGATTGCCAGCTAGCTGTCGATTGCCAGCTAAAAAAAAAAAAAAAGACCCCCCCCCCAAAAAAAAAAGACCCCAAAGGGGATCCCTTACAGTTTTTCTACACTTAGCTGCTCCCCCTCACCATAGGCCCTTTTCAATTTTTTTGAGGAATCCATTGACATATTGAGATTTGGAACCTTTCCCATACATCAACATGACCAACAATAATTATTTTATCACTCTTTTAGTGAGATAAAAATGGGTTCAACATCAGTTTTTATTTTTCAAAGATTTATTTAAAAAAAAAAAAGAAAAGCACTAGCTGGGAGTCGAACCGATTACCTTCCAGTGCAGGCGTTTGCATATCCACTAGACCAATGTGCACACTGGTAATCTCCTTTTTTTTCTTCATATTGATACTTATTGTTGTAGATGTAGCAAAGAGGTATTCTAACTAATTCAGAGAGTCGCTTGTTAAAGAAAGAGTATCAAATATTATTTCTCCTTGTTGAGGAGCTAGGGGGGGGGTGTCCCTTTAAAAAAAGGAGATGGACACGTCAATATAATGGGTAAAGAAAAAAAGAAGAAAAAAATAAACATGAGGTATAAAGAAGAAGCTGGGAGTCGAACCCGAGTACATACACACAAATTGCATTGTGAAGCAATCAGTCTTATCCACAAGGCCCACTTTGCCTCACTGCTATTACCTGGTTCGATTCTTGGTCTTATAGCCACTTCTGCATGTTAATGACTTAATATGCTGATTTACTGATTTAACGATTTCGGGATGCATAATTGTTCACATTTTTGCAGTCCGATGTTGTCAAGGATTTCCCGTAAATGTTTTCTTCAGTTACTGATATTTCTGATATGATAGTGAGGTTTTATGTTATTTTCATTTATTTTGCAAAACTGCTGACTTAAACTTCAAGTGATATGACAATAGGCCACTGCCCTGACATAGCATAATGAACAGAACACGGATCTATTCCATTTAGGATATGCTACGAATTCTATAACAGGGCACCAATGAATAGGGAAGCTTGGCTATTCGATTCCGTGGTCAATAGCTTGCACCTGCAATGTTTGAATAGTTATGTAACACATTATTCAGCTCTTTGGACATATGGCATCAATTAATGAATTGAAGAAAAAAAAACCCGACCCTCCCTTCATTGACGGAATATTTTTGTCAATTGCGAGGATTATACATAAGAGGTAATAATAGCATTCCTGACATGGCAATAATGAACCGCATATTTTGATGACGTAATGGTATCGAAATATAAGAAAGGAAAACAACTTCAGTTCAAGACAGTTCAAAATAATGCTGGGAAATGGAATTAAAATGATACCGTTTTAAAAACCAGTAGATATGGTTTTTGGACAAGAAGCATGAGATA